TTACGTTCGTTCTTTCTTCATAACTTGCATAAATGTTAAAATGGCTTCGTCACCCTCGGGTGTCTGCCAACACGTGCCTATCCTAGTGTTTGAGGGATATCGGGAATCGGGGCCGTGTCATAAATTTAAATATAATGAAATATGCAAAAGCAGGAACATATTCAAAGCATACAACTAATCAAGAATACTACAAGAGAATTATTATAAAAAAGGTATGAACAAATGAGAGGGGTCCTACACTGAGAAGACTCGAAGATACCAATGTGGGAGTGCCCTAACGCCAAGATCGTATGCTTCGGTTCTAAATCTTGAAGGGGGCACAAAAACCAAAAGGGTGGACCAAAGTTTATACTAATAGTAATAATAATAAGAAAAAGTTTTTCCTTCTTGAAACGTACTAACCCCCTGTTTTGAAAACACCTATAATACTACATAGTATGTTTTCTGAAAGCTCCAACATGCCAAAAATGTTTGTAACAATAAAATCTTCTCTAAAAATGATATCGAAATTGCTCCGAAAGTAAATCCAAAGAATCTTGTAAATCAAATCAATGCTGTACTCAACTAGGGGTATTATAGTCACCTGAAGGCATAAACATCACCCAAAGGTGAAACTGTACGACACTGGATTACGCTAGTGAAGAAACATGGTAGGTCTCATCACCTGAAGGTGAAGCTGTATGACTCTAGGGTTACGCTTAGAGAAGAAACATATACATAACACACTGACACTAGTTGTGGCTAGTGAAGCTGTCCGACATTGGTTTCGCCAGTTGAAACTGGGTGAAGCTGGGAGTATGTCATGAAATATCTCACTACTCATCAACTGTGTCCTATGGTCCATAGACATGTATACATACTCAGGTTGTGTGTATGTGTTGTATGATTACCTACTAGATAAGCACTGAAAACATAAATTATAATCCTTCCAAATCATCGGAGCTCAAAAAACTCAAAGTTATCAATTCATAAACCGTAATAAATCACATTCGTAAATCCATAAAATCTCATAGGGCATAAAAGCAATAGTTCGTAAACCTTTCATAAAATGTAAGTTCGATAAATCATAAAACGTAAATAATTTACGAAATATAAAATTATGAAAATATGATTTCCATGAATGCAAGCCTAACATTTGAACTCATGCAATTTATGAAGGGGTCAACTCACAAATACTCTGTTGCCGAAGAGCCGTTCGAACTAGGGAGGATGAGATCTCCACTAAAAAACCCAACTAAGCGCATAAAGGGACCAATTAATAAAACCCTACTAAAATGATTGAATTTGGGAAAACGAATGTCGGATTCGAAATACGGGAAGTAAAAAAAACCTAAGGAAGGACCTCGGGTTCCCCCACGCGTCGTCGCACGCGCCACATGGGGCTGCGGCCCAAGATGCCATGCTCCACCGCACACACTGCCACGGGCCGAGTTGAATCACCGAAAAGTTGGTCGAAACGGTCGCTGGCACCGCCGTGGACAGCGACAAAGCACAATACCTCCGATGAAAGGCGCATGTACTCAACGCGTTGGGCACTGCAACACCATGCGTCCGCGAGTATGCCATACTCGTCTTTCTCCATGAGACCTACAGATTTTGCAGGTTGGAAGGGCCAACTTCCAGAGCTCATTTCCGAGCTCGGATACAATGCCAAATTGAGTAATTATGGATCCTATGTAAAGCTAGAAATGTAGGGAAGATATGTATACTTGTTTGAGATTCAACGGAGGCCAGAAGCTTGCCAAAAAAGTGACTGGAAAGTGGCCAAACGGTGACGATTTGGTTTTCCTAGAAAACATACAGTGTTATTCCCCGGGTTTTCCGTGCATCCACACATGATCAACGCCTAAAACTACCTTAGTCACATACTAAAACACGATCTAAGGGGTTTAAGACGGGTTTACCTTGTCTGGAGACGGCGAGAACTCGCCAGAGAAACCTTTTGCACAGTGGCTACATAGTGCAACACCATAGGGAGGTTTCCGAGGGGTTTTCCATCGCCCTGGCTCTGAGGGTCTCGCAGAGGAAATAGGGGGGATGGTGTTGGTGTTGTCCTTGTTGATTTTTATGTGTGTATGGGTGTACGTGTGTCTCTCAAAGAAGAAGAAAATAGTTCAGAGATGAGAGGGAGAGAAAAGAAGAGAGAAAGTTTTAGAGAGAGAACTTCATTGGGGAGAGAAATGAGAGAAAAGAAAGGGAAAAGGAGAGAAATGCGCTGAGGGACCAAAAAGTAAGGGTGGGCCCTACCAGGCTCATCAAACAAGGCAAGAAAAGACGAAACAGAAAAATATCCCGCTAAATCCGTAGTCTTCGCCAGTTCGCTTGTAACCAAGTACCCACCAACAAGAAAATGCCTCTCCCTGAGCCATCTCTTTCCCTTTCAAAATAAAATCTAGGTGTGGTTTTCTAGTAGAAAAGTTGTTTAGGTCTTTTGCAACTCATCAATTTTGATATTTTGGGAGGTATTCAATATTGATCCATGGTGGGAGGGGTTCCAGTAGCGAGAACATTGTAGCTCCCTAGGATGGTCAAGGTGTCAAAGACCTGATTGCTCGCGCCGATAGTAGTATAGACCGTGGGAAGTGGATTGTTCTCCATTGTGATGTTAACATCAATGTTAAATGAACTTTCTTATGCAGACATGCTTATGGTAGAGTGATTTGGCCAGAGGAATATAAGTTCACTTCTCAATTAAAATACCAATTATTGGAACAAAATTTGCACACCACCGTAGAGGGAGGAGATGTACAAACTTGACTATGTGTAAAACAATAAACCAAACCGTAAAGTAACCTTGACACGGTGGGGTGTTGGCCAAATGCTCTTTGATGTTCAAGTTTGTAGGCAACTTATGAAACTCAAGCAATAGGTAAAGAGAGTATGCAATTATTGCATTACTACAGATGAATCCTAGAATGATGTATTTATACCAATCAAAGGAGAGCCCTTTTAGAATATAGAATCCACATTAAACCAGGAGAATCCCGAGGATATCTAGGAGTAGATATTGTATCCTCATAACAGTGTGATTACTTGCGGCGCATTTTAAATGCCTAGATTGTCGGAATCTTCAAGAATATAAGAAACATGGTTGAATCTATACCGGATCAAGTTTTCGTATCTTTGTAGAATAAGAATGGTCAATTTCAATGAAGTCGACTATCTTCGCTCACTTATCCGGATCATGATGATGGTGGCATAGCTGATTTGTTTCTGCAACTCTATGATAGAAGTCATTGAGTCTATGATCGGACTACTAATTATCTGTATTCCGATCCTTCTTACATCGGGCCCCTGGAAAATCATGGTCCCACAAGTTAGATTCGCAAGCCTCAATTCCTTTCTAACCCTAATTTTCCCAAATCTCTCGCCACAATTTAGATGTAGTCTAATAAATATGTGGTAATTAACCAAAATCCCATGTAAGTGCCACGTCGCCAAGTATGGGGCTTATCCCTACCTGTGTCAAAAATGAAATGTCCACACTACCCTTTAATTTAACATCTATTTGACGAAGTGGACGAAAATGAGGTGAACTAAGACTAAATGAGACGATAATAATAGTTTCAACGGGGAAAATGAGACAAAATCAGATTAAGAGAGTAAAATGAGACTAAATTACAATTTCAAGGAGAAAATAAATAAATATGCATTAATATCAATAATCGTTGAAGGGGAAAAACAATAATATACCTAGACAGTGAAAATGAAACCTACCTACTATAATGGTGTGTTTACCAAACGGGACAAGAGTAAGGAGAAACAGAATTGCACTACTTCTTATGCATTCTAGCATTTACTAACATTTGAGGAGTCAAAAAATAGGTGGGGTCTACCTAATATGTGGAATCGAATTCCGGAATTGGATTACTGAGATAGAGTTGGTATTTGGATTGCGAGGAGAAGGCTCTATCTGGAATCAAAGTTTTCTTCCTAAAATACCCTTCCGTCTCATTGTCCTCTGCCATTGTATCCAGTAGCTCTTTGCTCCTCTTGTTATCATCATCTTTCACAATCGACGCCCTTCACAGACTCCAACTTCAACAACAAGTTATAAGGCCTCGATTTGAAATCCAACGTGTCTCTCCCTTCGAAATTCGCCTCTCAATCTCATCGACCTCACTCTGATGGCGGCGATCTTCCTCACCAAGAACCACCTAAATGCCTTCCGACGTAGTGGACTAGGGTCGAAACCACCTCCGCCAACGAGCCCACTCACTACTGGCCGGGAAATGAGAGCTATAGGGAGCTGGCTACGGGGTAGGGGTTGAGGAAGACGGGGGTGGTAGAAGGGCTGCGTGGCTGGAAAAAAAAAAAGGATGAAAATGGGGGCGTGGGGAAGACATGGAGACGGGGCAAACGTAACCATCTTTTGATTATAAAAAAATAAATAAAAAAAAATAAAAAAAAAGAACCTCTTTAATTAATTTTATATAGTTAGATTTTATGATATAAAATTTAATTTTATTAATTAGCATGAAATAATTTATTTAAATAAGGGTAATTTAATAATTAAACTAAAATTCTGATTCAATGAATTAGTAAACAACTTATATAGAACCAACATAATTCTTAGTTTGATTCCAGATATCAATTAACAACTTAACATAAATCTAATTTTGTTTCCTCTGTAATCCAATTCCTCTTCAATTCAATTCGCTTCAATCTGATTATAGATTAGTAAACAAGCCATAAAAGAATTCAATTCTCACTTGGGGTTTATAATATTTACTTTTGTTCTTTAAAAAAAATGAAAAAGAACATTTTGGTGGAGCACGTTGGTGTTGATGAATTTCTAAAAATGAAGACTAATGAAAAAGACTTAAAAATTTTGAGTTTTAACAATAAGAACAAAAATAAAGGGTAAAATGAATAGTACCATAATTGACTTTTTAGTATAAAAAGGTAGGTTTTCGTTAAAAAGAACAGTACCGGAAGTTTTTCGTTAAAGTTCCCAATAAAGCCTCATACTTGAAACGTCATGCCAAATAGATACATCATAGGTATAGTCCTAGTGATTTATTTTCTAATTCCCCAAAGTTTCCCATACAAAGAATTTTCTCCCATCAAAATGTTCAACAATTCTATTATGCTCCATCGTATCTTACAATCCAGGGTTTTCGGCCGTTACATTCTAACAAAACTACCAAATCATATTTGCCAAATCAAAAGAGCACCTGAGAAATATAGACAACAATTCCAACTCTCCCTTGTTTTTTTTTAACCTTTCCCCTCCTTGTTCACAGGCTTTTTCATGAATCTTACCAGTTGCAGACCTTGTATACCTAAAGCTGGGTTTAGGGTTAAGTTTTTGGATACCTAGTATAACTTCTCTTCAAAATGTGATTCACGGTAGGCAAGCCGTCAACCGTGATGGTCCATGATGATCTGATGGACAACGAGAGTCCGCAGAAGAACTAGCAGGCACGAATCGTTTGCACCTTGGCAAGGAATTTGATACCCATTCAAAACACATAGGCAGCTGAGTTTTGGTCATCACGCTACAATTAAATTTTCACAACCATTATAAACCAAACAAATTAAGCCAACAATAACTAGCTTTTGCAAAAATTAAAACAAATCAAACTCGGTCTTTCCTCGTCTTAAAAAAATAAAAAATACAAAAGGTGAAGAAGATTATAGCGGAAAAGCCTTTTAGTTGACATTTTACAACTCCTAGCTTTTCTTTTTTTCATGCAATTACCTCAAAATAAACACTCTTACTCATAGCTATGGGGAAAAAATAAGTCATTTCATAAGCCCGCAAACAAAGGAATTTTTATCTTTTTAAACATCATTTAATTTCAAATAATGTTGTTTCGAAAAAAAGAATGTAGGTTCACCTACCCTCATTGCCAACTGTAAAAGACCCTTCTCTCATCAACTTCAGGCTTATGCTGTTGAATCTTTCCCGTGAATATTGTCTAGATGCTTTTCTCCAATCTGTACCAGCCTTCATCATAGCAGCAAACTCCTCATAACTTATGCGTCCATCCTGCAAGATGACAATACATCAACGATGCATAAACATAACTTGACTAAAAAATTTACACATGCACATATCAAATGTGAAAAAAATGTAATCTTACAAACTGAAAACATTTAACATGAGTCAACCCTTCTCACTAGAAGATGAACACATTCTAAGCGACAGAAACGAGGTTGTTCGGATAAGCATTTCCGCACAAAAGACCAACTCAAAAACTACAATTTTCTTGAAGGTATTAAAGGAGGGCCTTCTAACCATGTGTGTTGGAATAAAACATTTTGGATGTAAAGCTATTTAAGTTAATTGTATCAAAATGTTAATTCCAACCTTATCTGTGTCCACGTCATGCATAATCGCATGGATGACTTCCTCACCACCCACGTCAACATCATTATTTAACGCATTTCTCAATTCTTCAATTTCTATATGGCCACTTTGGTTTTGATCAAAGAAGGCAAAGGCTTTATGTAGGTGCTCGTCATTCGCCATCTTTTTAAGGTGAACCGTGACAACAACAAACTCTCCATAGTTTAGAGCTCCATCCCCATCAACATCAGCCTGTAGCAATCAGAAATCAATTAGTTATTTTGTAAAGACCCCAAAGGGAACTAACATGTTGAACCAACCCTTATCTCTCATGAAACAATTTTTTTTTTCCTCATCGTTTCCATTATTTTAGTGTTTTTAGTTTGTTTCTCAGGATTTAACATGGTGCAGAGTTGGGCAATTTATCATCCAAACCTCGGATTACAAGTAAGAAGGCAAGTTGGCGAAGCACAAATTGATACTTACAGCTTCCATTAGTATTTGAAGATCTGGATCAGAAATATTTTGCCCTAACTGTTGTATCCCGCTTCGTAGCTCTTCTATGGTCACCTTGCCCTTGTTGCCAGTGTCCATCATTTGAAAAGCCTCTTTTATGCCAGCTACTTCCGCAACTGATAAATGCTCAGCTATGACCTATGTATGAAATATTCAAGAGTTCAGACATAGAATATAGGGCCAACTTTAACACAACATACAAGTAGCCAACATCGAACCCTTCAATTATTATGCACGCTAATAAGTAAACTCAAAACCTTACCCCAAGAGCTCTTTTCTTCAGCTTGTTCATTACAGAAAACTGTTGCAGCCTTGCTCTCACAGTTTCACCAAGTGGGACATTTGGGGCCTTCTTGGCATTTTGTATCCAAGGATGATCTACATGAAAAGAATTGGGATTAACATGTCATGTAAGGCAATAAATGTTTGGTAAATGGAAGATATCAGATTAGTATAATTACCAAGCACTTCCTTAGCTGTCAGCCTCTTCTTCGGATCAGGATCAAGCATTTTCTTCACAAGGTCCTTTGCATTATCAGAAACTCTAGGCCAGGGGTCCCTCTTGAAATCAACGACGGATCGAATAATTGCTTGTGCTACCCCTTGTTCAGTTTCTACAGTTGAAATTTTTTGAAAACTAGAGAAAGAAATACTAATAAACAAGGAATACACTAGCAGGCACACTTTTGTTCAAGCTGATCTAAATCAGGGATCTTTGATAAGCAAAAACATTACAACCCCCTATTGTAGTTGTAAAGAATCAAGATCAAAATACAGGACGAGACACAAACCTGCCCAGAAAGGTGGAACACCACAAAGTAAAATATATAGAATAACCCCAGCACTCCAAATGTCAACCTCGGGTCCATAGTTGCGCTTCAGAACCTCTGGAGCCATGTAATAAGGACTGCCCACTATCTCATTAAATTGCTCACCTGTGGAATATGGCAACCTTTAGCTACACTGTTTTCATAATAACCGAAAAAATATAGATGATATAATGATGCTAAAACAGGAATTTCAAGAAAAATCATTAAACAGGCAATATTGAAGTAGTGCAATACCAGGTTTAAAGAACACAGACAGTCCAAAATCAATTGCTTTCAAAGAGGCTGTTTCCTTCTTATTTGCAAATAGGAAGTTTTCTGGTTTGAGATCACGATGCATTACTCCGTGTTTATGACACATCTGCAAAGTAAAGATGCACGTAAATAAATCAGAATAATTAACAGTAACATATGTACAGAAGAGTTGACATCATCACCAAGTAACAGAAAATCAAAGATCAATATTAGTGTCAGCAAAGATAGAATTAGCAGATATTCAATTTAACACGTAAAAAGAGAGGAGAAAGAAACGTATTGTGCAGGGACAAATATCTTCAAATGCACAGGAACTAGTCATATTACAGTAAGCTGCAACATGTTATTATATACAAAGGTTTAAGGTTCAAATGAGCAAAATATCACCTAAAAGAACATTTAAGTGAATGAATTATGAAACACAACGAACGTATTGTTCGTCTATTTAACAACCAATAGTGAGAAATTTAAACCAAATAACATAACACATAGCACCACAGCTAATTGCTGAAGTGAATATAGAGAATATTCAATAAAAAAGGACGGAGGACATTCAACTCACCCTATGGTTCTCCATTTACCATTTAAAGTTCACAGTATGTTATAAGAATCACCTTTACCCTAAACAAGAATATAACAAATGACAAATATGATTCAACCAACATCATAACACACAAGCTATATCATATCATGTCATATCAAATCTAATATAAGCATGTAACTACCAAATTTCAGAACCATTGGTATTACCAAACCAAATAACACAACAGAACCATAACAAAACTCAACCTGAACTACTTCAACAATCGTCCTCATTACGCCTGCAGCAGCACGTTCTGTGTAATGACCCCTAGCAACAATGCGGTCGAACAGCTCACCGCCCTCACACAACTCCATCACAATGTGAACCGCATCACCATCTTCATAAGTGTCCTTTAATGTCACAATATTTGGGTGTGGAGGCAAATGCTGCATTATCTCAACTTCCCTCCTCACATCCTCAATATCCACCGCTGTTCTAAGCTTCTTCTTTGATATCGATTTGCATGCAAATTTTTCGTCGGAGGATGCCTCTGTGCACAGATATGTTACCCCGAATTCACCTCGGCCAAGTTCGCGTCCCAGATCATATTGGGCCGAAATGTCTCGACCTGTGGGGTCTTTCAAGACCAACAGCTTGCCATCACCATCTTTTCCATTAATGCCACCAAAATCTGTTGCAAATGGGTTTGTCTTCTTCTTGTTGTTCTTGTTCTTGTTCTGGCCAGGTGCGCCAAGGGTTACACAGCAATTTCCCATGAAATCAAACCTTAAAATTTTTCACAAATTCCAATCTTTTCTCTAGATTTCTTGAGGACCTAATTGAGCAGAAAGGTCAATAAACTGAAATCTGAAACGGCAAATTAGAAAAAAAAAAAAATCAAAGAAAATTAATGGCAAATTCCACATTTGGGTTCCATAACATTTCCAGCTCCAAGATTTTGTAGTTTTGGCAGAAACCAAATTTAGAAATGTGGAATATTCATGCAGAAACAAATAAGAAATCCTTGATTCTTAATATGGAAACAAAAAACAAAACAAAAACAATCAAAAGATGGAAAATGTAACAGAAGAAGAAAACCCACCTGTGGTTTTTTCAAATTTTGGGATTTTGGAAGGAGGCCCAGATGAGATTTCAGGGTAAATTAATGCAAGAAACCAAAGATTTGGGAAGGGTAAGAAGAATATGAAAGGAGTAGGAATTGAAGGTGTGAAAATGCCACGGATTTGCAGAGAGAGAGCCAAAGCTCTTTCACAGAGGCTTTTGTTCTCTCTCTCTAAAAATCCTTTGTTTTTTTTCTTCTTCTTCCTTCTCTTCTTCTTCTTTGTTTCTCTTTAAATTCAAAATAAAGAAAGAAAAAAAAAAAACAGAAAACAAACCTCCTCTTTCTTTTTCTCTTTCCGTTTTTCTTTTTCCTTTTTTCTTTTTATTTTGTCTCTGCTCAAAATATCCAACACAACCTTGCATGTCACAGCTCCCCTTCTGTTTTCATTTTTGCTAATTTTCTTGCCTTGTTACCGTTAGATCAGTTATCCACAATTTTCCAACTAATATTTATGCTATTTCATATTTGCATAAAAATATTTTTTGTTATAATTAAACAAATTATTGTTAGTGTAAAATAATTAAAAATTAATCTATATTTAAACAGTTTATTGACAAAACTTTTCTTTTTAACCAAGAGAGGGTGAAAATACCAAATTAATCCCTGCCAAAAAAACTTAAAAAATGACCAAAATAAAAGTTAAAAACGATATAGTAAATTGAACACAAAATAATTTTATTGCTTCTTTTCATAGCCTCACCGCCAAGTAACCATATCAATTCCGCTCATTTTCTCTTTCACGTTTTTCTCCTAAATAAAATAAACTTTTGGTGACGAAATAGTTATCTGGAAACAGTCGTCAAATATATGAACAACCTCTTCAGTGATGAAAAATCATTTGATGATCGTCACCCAAAATCTTTAGCAACCATTTCATAGTTTCTCTCTTTGTAAATTTTATTTTCAAAATTTATAAACACGTGCATGGTATATGATTGCTAGTGTATAAAGGAAAAAAGGTTGAGTCATTCGTAATTTTAAAAAAAATATCCCTCCCTAGTTACGATTTTAAAATAAGTAAAGTTAGAAGGCAAAAACGATGAATCATTCATAATTTCAAACATATCTTTATCTAATTAGGATTTAAAATAAAAGAATTTAATTTTTTTTAATTCAAACTAATAGAATAAAATTACTCTCGCAGCGGGCAGCTTTTTTTCCATTATTTCTTTAACTTTTAAATAAAAAATAATTTATAATTACATGTAAAGAATAACATGTAAAAAAGAAACTACTACACGCGTGAGTGTGATAAAATGCTAGTTATGTATAATATGACAAGAGAAAAAGAAAGTAAAAGAAAACTAATTAATTTTATTCCAAATAAAAAACTATTTTCTGCTATTTTGATAGTTAAATAATTGTTAGTTTATTTTATTTTTAGCACTTGAGTTTTTACCCAACGGTTAAACAAAAGTTGGTTGTGGTTTCTAAAAACAAAAATAAAATCAACCTTTACATAGTATTTAGTATGGTTGTATTATGGAGGTATGGATCATGTCTTAACCAATCCTTTTGCAAATCTATCTAACTTGACAGGTTTCGGGCCAGAAATTTATAATATTATGTTATATTCAATATAACGTAAAATAAACGAGTAAGATGAAAAATTAAATCATATACCTTTATCCCTTTCATTTACGTTTATTAATATTTTGTTACACTTAAAAGTTACGAAATATTGTAGCCACACTTCATAATATGTTCATTGACAATAATTACACAAAAATCATTCTATGCTCGTAAAGTTCTTGCATAAAATATCCGCGAGAACAGTTTTGAAAGAAAGTACTTGAGTTTTTCCAATAAGTAAAGAGTATATTATTCAGGGTTCAATTTTATTTTTTATTTTTATTATACGAAGAGAATGACAGAGAGTCTGAATCTAGGACTCAATGAGTTGGAAAAAAACAAGACCCTAACGATTGGCGGAGAAGGAGGTCCTTGGGCGGTGAATGGCTTTTCCCTGGCCACTCATAGATGGCTTGAAGGGATGCATGGATTTTTTCTGGTCACTCCTGTTGGATGAGTCATGGTCCCTCTTCTCTTGTCTGCACCTACTAAAAAGAGCTTTCGTACCCACTCCCTTGACATTGGGGATCAAATGTTCGAAGCATTCTTTGAAGCTTCAAATGTTTGCGGCTTGCATTTGACATGGTATGATTAGGCTCGTAACAACAAAATTTTCTTCTATGGTGGTACGTATGACTTAATAGTTTAAAAAGTTCATAGTTTTATTTTGCATATAGGGATATAATGAATTCCTACAACAGTTAGATTTTGGATATCATAAAACTCGTACTTTTAAGTGAAACGTAGCATATATATATACACACACACATTTGAATTGATCTTGTGCCTTTAAGGAACTGACATATCTCTACTAATTAATAAAACACTCATTGTCAACCAAAATCATAAGAAATTACCATTTTAACCCTTTAATTAAAACAAAACATAAATAAGAAATACAGGGCAGAAATGTAATTTCACATAACTAAATTTTGCTTTTTTTTTCAAAGTCTCACCATGTAATCCTAACATATCTCTAATTTAAAAATAAAAAATAAAAAAAACTTCACACTCCCACATTCTCTATCACTCTCTTCCTCTCTCCTTCTATTTCAAAAACAAAAATAAAAAATTTACTTTGTGTGTGCCCATATGCTAGTTTCATTTATAGAAAGGGAAATGCTTACAATCAGATGAAGAATATGAACTGACGTATTTTATATTCTAAAATGTAAAATAATAATCACAAATGTTGCAATTTCTGAAAGAGAAGAAAGATGTATAAAAACCAATATAACCAATGATAGAGATTATTTGAGAGATAAAAACTCTCAAACAATTAATAGTGGGAAAGAAAAAACGCTATCCTTCATCCAGTTCCCTCGTCATCCCAATGATCCAATGCTGCAAGATATTGTGCTAATATCTGAAACAACATCGCTTTGGAGTTTTAAAGTGTTTTAGCATAAGGTTTGATATTTTGAAAATTATACTAGGAAGATAAAGTTAATAAAAGTATAATTGACATAATATTTTCTAAGAATCAACACCAACATAATACTCACAAAAAAAAAAAAAAAAAAAAAAAAAATCACAAATCTAGAGCACGTTCAGTTCCATAAATGGTCATCGACTTCTTTGCTTCTCTAATTAATAGTAATTACTGTTGCACATTTATGGTTTTAAGATGATTACAAGTAAGCACAGAACTAATTTTCCCCTTTCTCTATGTGAATTATTCTCACACAAACTCAAACCAGAAGCTGTGTATAAGCTGAGCTGAAAGGCGATTCAGCGCATCTGTCTTGAACATAAATTTCTGGTTGCGGATCAAAACTGGTCCTTTAGGATTTCTCTTTGAACAACTGTGTATGGAGCTGCCCCCGGTCCATCTATGGCTGGTTTTATAACAGTGTAAAACAGCACATTATAGAAGACGGTGAAAGCAAAGACTGCAGCAGCCGTGATTGTGAAGAACGATCCTGAAAATTCTTCAACTTGCTCATCTTTTGTTCGATCTCTTGTAAAAGTCACGTCCGGTGCTGCAATCAGTGAAAAAAAGTTCTTGTCGTCAACATCCGTTTAATTTGTTTCATTTCCGTTTCCTAATAAGACCCTATGAAACTGCAATGCTATAGTTCCTTCACATAATAGCAAGATTATAACAAGACCATATGCTTTGCAGAGTTAGGTGCTCAAGTCCCTGATTAAACTATATCAGAAAATGCAGTTTTGACAAAATAAAACGCCAAGCCCTCTAACATGGGCTTGTAACTAAGCAAGACAATCGAGTGAATGATCGTATGGAGAATTAAGTCGTGGGGGTAAGAGATTCATTATCACCTCACGCTGAGGTCACATTAAACACGTCCCAAGCCCTTGAGTTAGTAGGATAAGGTATACCCCGCCTCTAATGAGTGGGTAGCAAATCAAAACTTGTTTCTCAAGTTTAATTAACCAAAAAAATTCATGGTCTAGAACAGAAAAGTTGTGGTAACTTAATCTAATTGCATGCAAGTTTTGTTTGTGTTTTCACTTTATCATCAGAAATTCCAAATTAGATCACACTAGGATTGTTGGTACCAAGACAAGTATTTGCATAATTCAGATATCAGAAATCCCAAATTATATTAGATGCAGATTGCAGAGCAGCTAAGTTCTGGTGGAAATTCCCAAATTAATTTGCTACTCGAAAACCATATTCAAACTCCAAGTACTAATTGAGCAATATCTATCCCACATAAACACTCACATCAGTTGCATCCAAAGTGCTTGTAGTTCTGTCACAGAGAGAGAGAGAGAGAGAGAGAGAGAATACCCTTTTCCTTTGGAGGGCGGAATTTAGTTTGGGAGCGGGATTGAAGTTGCTGGTCAAGATTTTTAAGAGCTTCTCTGGCCTTATCTGGGTCTACCTCAAACCGCTGCGACTCGTTCTCCACTGCACAAACAATACAGGAAGAGGAGGAGAAAGAAGAATTATGGTGATATGGGTTTGTGTTCTTCTTCCTGAAAATGCCATGGCCAGGCTCTAGCAATTCAGAAATGCATGTTTTAAGCTTATAACTTGTGGGAGAAAATGGTTGCAGTGACAATGGTGGTTTACCGTGAAGTGAAGGAGAATACAGGGGAAGCATTGATTTGAATGAGATAAATGAAACCACAGCCACAACTGGGAAAGAGGTTAACGGTACTTTTATCTTTTCATCAACTTGAACCGAAAACCGAACCAAACCGGTTCATCTTTCAATTTCGCAGGCCAGACCAGATCAAACCGAGTATAAGAAACAAAGAAAACCGGCTTGACTGCATCGGTCAAACTAGAACCGAACTATGTAGACTGATTCCTGCTTAATACTGGGACTTAGAAACCAAAATGGTCCGAATTAGGGATGGGCAAAATACTCACAAGTATGGGTAACTGTGGTTAATCACCCATTTAAACTTAACGGTTACTGTTGTGAGTAATCGTTTGAATAAGTACAGTTATGGATATAACCGTTTACCTGTTAAATATAAATGGGTGAATATGAGTGTTGTGGAGCAAAAAATAATCCAAAAAATCATGGAGGCGTTTGGTTGAAAAAAAAAAAGATTATCCGCAAGACAATCCAAGATTCTCACGCACATGCAACACAATGACAACTCAACAAGGAAGAGTCAAAGGAGGTCTTTAAGGAATTTATTCAAATTCCTCTCATCACTCCTCATCAATCCTTATTGATTTTATTTAAAAGGTAACTCCCAAATTTTCTTATTTAAATTAGTAATAATTGTTATGTTAATTGTAACATATTATTTCACATAATAATTTGTAATTATTCTCAAACCACCGTAAAAGGCCGGTCACCCTCCTATAAATACCCCTCTTGTGAAATCCAGCCCTCGGATTTCACTATTTAAAATTACGTATTATGTATTTCGTATTATTATTCGTAGTTTCAACGCATTGTAATTGCGGCGTATAATTTTTTGATAAGTAAAAAACCAGAAACACCCTAGTGGATTAAACAGAATTTTTTAGGTCGTAGTTGGTCCCTACGTATTGTTCCACTTATCCTTATATATTTGGATAGTACTCGTCGATACGAACGCGTGGGCGCAAACAGAATGTTATTCGGAATTATAATGAAGATTTTTTGAGGTTTTGAACATCAAGGATATTTTGGTAAACATGTGATATTTTTCTCTAACCATTGGCTGAGTGCCACGTGGGCACCCCAAAAAAAATTTATTAAACTCTCTCTCTCCTCCCTTCCCTCATGTTCTCTCATTCTCTCTCGGCTCTCGCTTTCTTCCCTTTGAAACAAACCACCACCATCACCAAAATTTTGGCTTGTTGAACACCAAAACCACCATTATCTGCATGTACTCACCACCATAAACTTCGTTATGATTTTTGTTTCATTGAAAACGAACCCGAAACACGAGTTCGAAGAACAAGGTTTTGGGCCGAGAATTCTAGGCGTGATTCAGACAATTTTCAGCCATCTTTTGAACTCAAATTGGTATAAATCGATTCCTCTCGTCAATTAGATAAATTTTCATGTTTGGATCGTGTGATTTGGTTGAAAAATAAGGAAGTTATAATGATTTAAAGTTTGCTCAGTTTCCGACGAACCCGTGACATTTCAGGCCATATTCCAGCCAATCCACGACGAGTTAGCCATCGGGACCAATCTGTTCTTCTCATTCCAAGCTATGATTTTAGTTTTTGAATCACTCAATTTCGTTGAGTATTGACAAAGTTATGGACGTTTAAGTTTTACCCAGAAATTTGGCGAGTTACCAGTTTTCCCTCCAACAACCATCTTTCAGGTCATTTTCTGGCCACCTCCAGCCACCATTTGGGCTACAAGTAGGTATACTCTTGTTCTACACTTCTCTAGCTTCATTTTGGTATATTATGGGTCAAATTTGGTTGAGAAACAAGTGAGATATGGAGTTTTAAAGATTGCCGGAAAATCTGCAAAATCTGCAGAATCTGGCGACCTGCATTGACTGTTGACTTTTTCAGATTTTGGCCCGGGACCTATCTTAGGGTTTTTTGACGTCCCGAATCCATTTTTGACATCCGTTTAGTGAGATTCTAATGTTTTAATGTAGTTTCGTAGTTGATCGGATAGTTGATCACCACTTGAATTAGTAATTGGCGGAGATCCAACGGTTGGATCGTAATGAAATTTTAGCATGTTGTTTTAGAAGCATAATGTGGATCTTTGGAAGTTACGGATCAGAAATCCGACATGCGGAACTTCCGAATCGAATTATGTAGGGTTTTGGACCCTACTGTCGACCTTTGATCGACAATTGACTTTTGGTCAACCGGTCCCAAATCATTCTAGAACGTCCTTGATGATGTGTTTTATGTAAGTTACGTGGTTTATCACTTGGGTTCTGAGACAAGATTTGGTTATTTTTTCAGGCGACAATGAGACGTGGACGCCTCAATATTCGAGTTAGGGATTCGTAGTGTAGGCTCCAGGTGAGTGACTTTAATATATATGATATGGTTATTACCCTGTTTTTGTATTTAGTATCCTTTGTGGATATGACTTGGTTTTATAAATGTGTTTTCTATTAAAAATGTGATTTCTAAAATTTAGCCATCGATCTATTATTATGAAATGTGATTAGACTTGTGTATTGGAAATGTTTGGAAATGTGATTTGAAATGCATGTTGGATTATCTGTTAAATGTGAGGGCTAGCAGTGGACCGTTAACCCATTATCACGGGGATTTGTTGCTTCAATATCGTTTCATTTCTCGCTTCGTTGATTCATTATAAATTTATTACTTATGCTTGTTTCATATCTCGTTTCATTGTTTCATTTCCCATTTCGTTGAGCCGTTATAAATTGAGTAACTTGATTCATGTCTTGTTTCTTCGAGCCGTTTTTATGTTTCTTGGATTCCGCTTGGTTTCGTTGAGTGATCCGGAACTAAGTATCTATTGGGGTTCCGTTAAGTGGTCTAGTTCCCTGCTACTCTGGGTTCCGTTGAATGGTTCGCAATCCCTCGTGCTCCACGATTCCGTTGAGTGGTCCAGAATCGTATCCAGCTTGGATTTCATTGAGTGGTCCTATATTTATTGTACTCCACGATTCTGTTGAGAGCTCCAGAATCATATCCACTCGGATTCCGTTGAAAGGTCCATAATCCCTTCAACTCCGCGATTCCATTAAGTGGTTTGGAATCTTGGTTGGATTCTGTTAAGTGGTCTGGAATCCCACTTGGTATTATGGTTCCGTTGAAAGGTCTGAAACCTGATTAATTACTTTGTTGATTCTTCAGATTGAGTTTGGATTGAGATAGCTTTAGAGATGTAGGTTTCGGCCGAACTATGTCGCTCTAGCCCTACTTTTCATTATGTTGTATATGTTTGTGGTTGTGAGCTTTTGTGACTTATTTCAGACGAACTGTTGGATGTCTAGGTGACTTATTCATGATTTTCAATAACTTGATTATGATTATGATTTCATAAAATATGATTTTATATTTGACGTTTATAAACCGAAATCAATGGTTGGTTTTTATTAGTATCACATACGTAGAATTATTGTCACTCACACAAGCTTCGCGGCTTATCCGGGTTGTTGTTTGCCCGGTGCACCATTCCCATGGTGTAAGGGCGATTGTGCAGGTTTTAGTAGATACGATGAGCTTTGGGGTAGCAGACAGGGTTTAAGGAGCTTGTAGTGTTAGGTTACCCCTATAATTTCCTTAAAAAGATGTGATTATTGTTATTTTCAGTTCAGTATTTCAGTTTGTATTTCCTGGCATCCCCTTATAGTTTGCTGTCACGTATCGATTTTGGGCGTATCTCGGGATCGCGACGTGACACCTCTTATCCCACTAAAATTCTAAGTCATTTGCTACCCACAAACTCTTAAATGCATTGTTTTAAGTATTCTAACTTTGGCATCGGAGATTCTTCGACCAAAACCCTCGTTCATCATGGGCGCATAAGGCTTTTGGCCTTAATCAAATGTATTATTATTTTACAGGTGCATTCTCGTCAAAGAAAGAGATTGTAGAAATTTGCATTCATAAGTGTTAAATGGATACGAACGGGTAACCATTTAACCCACTAGTACAAAAAATAGTTTGCGCAACGCATATACCTTCGTCGCGAACAGTAAAAAAACGTTGCTTGAAAATTAGCCTAACGAAATCTTTGTCACGCGCCAATTGTCGCGCAAAGGTAGTGAAAGCAGGGTTTGCGTGACGAAGAGACAACCAGCGTCGTGCAAAAGGACTTTGCGCGACGGAAGAACATGCATCGCGCAGAGACATTTTGAGCGACGTAGGTGCTCTCGTTGCGCACTGCATCGTGCGAAAAGTCTTTGCGCAAAGAATAAGTAACATGCGTTGCGCAAAAGGACTTTCCGCAACGCAGGTTCTGTCGTCGCACAAAAGCTCTTTGCGTGACGCAGTTACTTCTTCATCATGCAAACTCGTTTTTTTTAGGCAAAAATATTTTTTATTTAATTTTTTATAAATATTGTAATTAAATTATAAATAATAATTAATAAACTAAGAAAAATTATTTAATTATAAAATATATGTAAATGTACATACAAGATGTCTGAACATAAAAGAAAAAACTAAAACAAGTAGCCTTCTAGGGTTGATGCATCAGGCTACTGGGTATCGGCTGGGTGAAGTGGCTGGGAGGTCGAATGTGGAGCAAGATCAGGTGCTGGCATTAGGATTTGGAGGTCGGACATCTGTAAGGCCTGTAAGATCATACTCATCTTCTTGTCCTAGGCCGAAAACTGGGCTGCAATCTCACTTCCTGGGTTGCTTGTTGGGCTGCAAGCTGACCTTTTAGGGTTGCCACTTCCTCCGTCAAGGTAATGACCTGTCATGTGGTCGATCTAGAAGAGGAGGCACATGTCTCAAGAACCTGCACCTTCCCCATACACCGAACAACCTTGCCATGACGACGATCGAGCTTCGGATTCAGGACCTTAATCAAGATCTGAAGACATGTATCCTCGGGTACAATGATGTCCTCGATCAAGGTCTCCAGGGGAAGCTGCGATGCTGCTTCTTGGAGAACAGTAGTGCGCTTTTCCACCATAGTGGCTTGTAATAATAAAGAAAAAACATATAATGTTTAATAACAAAATATAATTAATATTTGAACGATTCATAAATATAAGAATAATAAC